ACTTAGGTAGTTGATTGTGGAGTTCGTGTAGACAAAATATAGGAATTATCAAGTTTTAGTTTGAACTACTTAAGTATCTACTGATGTTTCAATTGTGGAGAATTGAGTTGGCATTGGATCTTGCTGAAAACTTAGATTATTCTACACCAGCGTTGGTATGACTATGCAGAGATAGAGAAGTAAAAAGGAGTATGTTTTGAAGTCGTCAGAGTTCTCTTCAGACTGAGTGTTTTGATTTAAGGTACTATCACTTGTGAGAGGGAAAAAATATCAGGCCTTGTGTTATTTCAGTAATATGCTTCTTGTAAGGATCGTCGTGCAGGTTTTGACTGAATAAATTGTGTCCTAGTAGGAATCAAGAGGTGTCTTCAAAAGGGAAGTCTGGAGTTTCATGGACGAATTTGAGTGCGGGAGTGCTTTGGTTTGTTCGCTTAGAAAGGTTCAATTTTGATGGTTCAATCTTCTAGGAGATATCTTTAGGGAGATAGAGGTGGTCTTCACTACGATTTCGACATTGGCATTACTTATAGAATCACATAATGCGTGGTGTGTTTATAATTTATTTTGCAAGTATAGCTAAGTTGTGTGCTTCTTAGGTAATGGAATGCCTTCGGAAGGCTTTGACTAGGTGTTTTAGGGGTGGGGTGTTTTGTAATTAGTCAAATTGAGAAACTTATTGATTGACATGAAGAGGTTTATGGAAGTGTTCTTCTAGGGTTGATTGTGTATAGATTCATAGTGTTTTGGTGGATGATTCAGAGTTCAGCAGTGTGAGGATTCTGTTATTCTTTAGGTTAAGAGGTTCTAATTCTAGAGGTAAAACATCATTGGGTAGGGTAATGAGAGTGTATTAATGATTGAAAGGTTGAACTGGTGAATTCAGCATAGGTGATCTTGGGAGGTTAGTACATGATGGAATATATGGTCAGTAATATGGGGGATGGATAGGTTATTCTAGGGTATAGGGGAATGTATCATACAGAGGTCTTGGATAGGGAAGTGTGGTAAAGGGGTAGTGGGAGTTTCTCCTTTGTGCTTGTGACAATGATCATGTTCAGTAAAGGCTTCAGGAGTTGGCAAATTTTAGTACTTGACGCTTTTGGATTCCACGAGGTTAGAGACATCATGTGTGACTTGTTTAGGTGAAGGACCGTGAGAAAAACGCTATCGGTGTGTTTCTTGTTAATTTAGTCGATAATGGGTTGTATCCACATCTGTGATTGAGGTTCATGGTTGGGATATTCCTGGAATGTCCATGAGTTAAAGATAAAGCAATGGAAGGCTTATGATTTATCTCATAAGAATTGTTGTTGGCTTTGAGCTGGCTACTATCGGCCTATTCAGATCGTGTGCCCTATACCGAGTCAGATTTGCTTATATAGGCAAGATATGATATAGATATATCATTTGGAAATTCTAGTCATTAGAGATATTTTGGTTTAGTAGGTTCAATAAAAGTGGAATTCTTCAAAACGTTGAGGCATTTGTATAAAATGCTTTTGGGGCATAGATTGAGTTGGGTTGGTTGCTTGTATATTGATAGAACAAATATTCTGATCAGGGTTTTAGATGTTCGGTGATCGTTGAGGAAGAATGTCATAAGCTCAAGAAGTTATTATGTTCCATTACTTTTCTTCAAATTCATTGTATTTGAGCAGATATTGAGATAAGGCATAACCATTCTATTTTGGGACTTGTACAGAAGTTGATGTCAATTGTTGGTTGAGTAGTTTGTAATTGATGATACTAAGCTAGTAGGCTCGAAATTTCTGAAATTGGACTTGAATGCGAATAGCTTTCGATGAAAATGCTTTCAGATGGCTTAGATCAAGTAATGGCTACTATCAGGTGTGAGAAATTCATGAATTATCACTATGGACATTAGTTAGGAGTTTCTATAGGTTTCTTTTGTCACTATGTGCGTTGTAAAGATTTAGAAGAAAGATATATTGAGTTATGCCATTTTTGTCGGTGCGGGGTTGGCACGAGCAGTTATTGCAGTACATAGAATATTATTATGATTATAAGATTTATGGAATGTACAAGTGGTTGCAATCGGTTGGTTAATATATGTCATGATATTGTTTATCAAGATTGTAATGATGAAAATATATGAGAATTTGACATATGAAGATTCCAAGTGTTAAAGATGAATTAATGGATTTGTAAGCTTGGGTTGATGAAGAAATTCCTAGAAGAGTTATCCTAATGGTATTAGCCGTGTGAAGTAGTGTATGATGAGTTACTTGGTTATTCGACAGCTTTGGAAGGACTCCTAACATGTTCGAGGACGAATGTAATGATCTAATCGATTGTTTTGAGTTTTAACACCTCGTTTCCCTGATTGAGATATTCCCTAGGTGCATTTCGTGGTTTATGACTTGAGTACATAGTTAGAATGCATTCCGTGAGGTTTGGAATTGATTTGGAACAATTAGTTCCTATTTGGAAGCTTCAAGTTGTTATAGTTGACCGAGGTTTGACTTTTGGTTAAACGGACTCGAAATTAATTTTTAATGGTTCCGCTAGGTTGGTATGATGATTTTGGACTTGGGCATATATTCAGATTTAAATTTGGACGACGACATTCCTAGAAGATTTTTGACTCCACTTGTCAGAAGTTGGCAATTTGAAGAATTTGAGAGTTCTTAAGTTTGACCGATAGTTTTCTATGATGTTATAGGACCCCTATTCCTGTTCTGCGACATAATATAGATTCATGTTATTGAGTGTAACTTGTGTGCAAATCTTGGTTGTGATCCGGAATGTCTAAGTATGATTCAAAGGCGTTCGATGAAGTTGGAAGCTGAAAGGCAAGAAATTTGGTTTGATCTTTGATTATCGGTTTTGATGTTATTATTTGTATTTCGAGTCATTAAATAAGTTTTCATGAGGTTTATGAACTTTTAGAATTATTAGACGGGTACCTAAAGGTCTTGGGTGAGTTTCGAGGTGGTTTCGGGCGATTTTGAGAAGTATAACTGCTGCAGTTTTTTTGTTGTATAGCAGTAATTCGCAATCGTTGAGTTGTGTCTTGTGATCGCGGAGAAGGAGCTAGTATGGGCAAAGATTTTCTATTCCCGATTGCGTAGAGCTTGTCCACGATTGCATACAAAGGGAGTTTGGGTAAACTTCATGACCGTGGGGTAATTAGGTGTGATTGTGTAAGGGTGAGGCAGGTAAGACAGCAGCCTCCGCGGTCGCATAGGACTGTGCTGCAATCATGGTACACTCTGCCATTGTTGGTCTTCGCGATCGCATAGGATGGAGCAGCAATCGCGATTCAATGAGACTTGGCAATACTTATGAGGCTAAAAATCAAGAATTGGTCATTTTATCCCGTTTTGAAGCCCTGGCTTCAGGTAAGACGATTTTGAGCAGATTTTCACCCATAGTTCAAGTGGTAAGTAACCTCAACTCACCTTTGAATTATTATCCTAGTTATTTATGGATTTGAGCTTATAAATCAAGAGATTAAAAGAGGGAAAATGTGAGTTTTGGAGAAATGTTTGAGAAGTGATATTTTGAGGTTTAGATCATGAAATCGAAGTCACATTTGAGAGAAAATTATATATTTGGACTTGTGGTGTTATGAGTAATCATAATCTTCAATTTATTTCGAATTTCGAGCGTGTGGGCCTGAGGTTGAATTTTTTAAAATGAGTAAATATTGAACCTTTTAAGTATGAGTTGATTCCTAAAGCTTATAATGACTTATGTGAACATCATTTGACTAGATACAAGTCATTTGGTGGTAGATTGTAATTTGTTAGGAAATTGGAAGGCAAGATGTGCATTAAGGTGCGGAAATACTAGAATTTCAAGGGCTAGAGTAAAGTATCAATTTCTGAACCATTTAATATGGTCCATATCTAAACACTATTGCACCAAGGAGTGGCTTGGTCACTGGTTTGGCATCTGTGATCAAGTTCTTTCACTCTCCCATAAGATTGAATGTTTTGATGTAAGTGGATGAAACCTCTCTCCAACTAGGTCAAAATAAATACTGATGGAAGTCGGAATGAGGAAGGGGTTATGGGGGCTAGAGGTATTATTAGAGACTCTGAAGGCAATTTGATCTTGGCTTTTGCATATAGCATGGGAAGGGGCAGTAGCAATTTGGTGGAGGCAAAGGCAGCATGGATGGGGTGAAGTGGTGTATTTCACGAGGTTTCCAAAATATCGTCCTTGAATGTGACTCTACGTTAGTAATCAATATGATTAAAGGGAACGCAAGCTTAGCATGGCAAATGCATGATATAATTTTGGATACTAAACAACTACTTCAACATGTGAAATTTGAGATCCAACATTGTTTTTGTGAGGCTAATCAAGTAGCATATGCTCTTGCTAAATGGGGCATTGAAGAGAATGAATCCATTTCCTCAATCCTAGAGATCTGCCCAGGTGTGACGCATGACGCAGGACCCTATTTGATGGACAAGGATCAAATGGCTTCAATAAGGCATAAGCAAAGGAGGAACATGTTGTCATAAGTTTTTTGTTTTTGGCACTAGTTTGTCTTCGATAAATTGGATGTACAAGGGTACTAATCTTGTATAGGATCATAGGAGTGTTTATAACATAGATTGTGGATCTTTGTACTTGTATACAACCTTGGTTATTATTACAGGGGGTTCTTTTTAACAGAGGCTAGGTTGATGCCCTCCTCTGTTATGCTGCAATTTTTTGGTGAGCAATATAAGGACTACGCCTCCTAATCACTACCAAAAACCGGAATTATTGCGGCGGTTAAATAACGGCGGTTCAAAGAAACAGCCGCAATATTTATCATAATACGGCGACGTTCCAGACGCCATTAGTGCGTAATTGTTAAACCAACATTTTTTTTGCAATTACGGCAGTTCTAAACCGCCACTAATTAGACGAAATTTTTAATAATTCTTTTCCGCTAATATTTAATGTTATTATTCAGTAACATTATTAAAAATATTAGCATTAAATTTAATGATAACGTAAATATCATTCAAACACCTAAAGCTCCCTAAACAGACACACCTTCTCTCTCTAGACTCTACACCGTCTCTCTCGTTCTCTCTAAACAAGCGATTCCCCAAATTAAATCACTGTAATATAAGAGGTTTAAGGAGATTAGAATGATGTAAGACGGTCATATCCGTTAACGATTCTCCCAAATCCTTTAGCTTTTATGTAAGGAGATCAGACTTCAACTCGTTTAAGGTAATGTGTTTGAATTCGTCTATAAATAGCCCTTTTCTGATAAATACTCACTTCAATACGTCTCCGGTTTCAAGTCGTTCGTGTAATTCCTTCCAAAATGCCGTTAATTTCACTGATTTAATGCGTGCATGTGTGTGTATTGGATGGATATCAGTTTAAACCACTGATTTTAGCTGTGAATTTCACTAATTTAGGTTTTGATTTCGCTGTTTTAGCCATTGATTTCATTGATTTTAGGCGTGCATCTGTGTGTATTGGACGAAGATCAGTTTAAATCACTGATTTTAGTTGTCGATTCACTGCTTAAGCCCATCAATTTCACCGTTTGGCAATCAATTTTATTGATTCGGCTGTCGATTTCACTGTTTTAGCTGTCAATTTCTGCTAATAGTTTTTTTTCCGTTTATTTTTGTGTCAAGTTTTGTTACTTTTCTATTCAATTAAGTTTGTGTTTGTTTAAATTTTGACATTTTTTATTTTTTTTTCTGCTAATATTAACCTAAATATCATTTATTGCCTTGATAGGTAGCTAAGGAATCTAAAACAGCTGGTAAAACTATTGGGATCGACATCAACAAAATCATATTTGATAGGTATAGCTCTTGTTAGTTAACTTTATCCTTTCTTTTGAGCAGATGTAATATATTCTGAATTCATAATTGTTGAAAATCAAAGCTTATTGATTCTTTTATTCCTTGCTACACTTGATTGTCATGAGCTTAGAGGACAGGGCCGATATGTTTTTGCATTGTTTTTCAGTTATACCATGCTCAGTGCTCAATCTCCCCGTGAGTTTCAGCTGCCAACACATAAGAACAGAATAAATAGTAGAAAAATCTTATGTGTGATATACTTTGAACAGTTATCTAGTGTAACATATGTTATTAAACTTCTCCTCTAGTTTTCACTCGTCTGTTGAGTTGGTTTTGACATATCAATTGTATTTATATGTATGGTTGTATGAAGTACAGAATGGGCAAAATCCTAGTTGAATCATAAAACATTTAAAATGTTCACAACAAATTTCTGGTTGATAAGTTTCAGGTTCAGGAATGATAAAATCTGCATACTCTAGTCTTTGAATGTTTCAAGCATTCTCGAACAATAAGAGGTTTTTAGTGCTAACAGTTATCACCTGGATTGGAAAGTATTCCAACCCGCCTGACTTTTCTAAGATATGCTTTTCATTTTATTTGGTTTGAATTCTATAAAACTGGTGAAAGAGGATAGACTTGGTGTTCATTTAAGATGTCCTCCAATTTTGGCGGAGGATATTGTAGACATGTGATTTTTGACCCTCCCCAATATTTTTTATATTTTAGCTTGTTAATATTTAATTTAGGCCTAATATCGCTATTTCAATTAATTTTGACTCTTTTACTTTATTTTATTTCAAGAAAATGAAAATTACAAAAAAAAATTATTAATGTTTTGTAGTCATTTTTAATCTTGAAAAATACCAAAAATAGTTTCGTTTTAATGGTCAGTCTTATTTTAACAGTTATTTTACTTAAGTAGGACTAATTAATAAATGAGATCGTATTTTAATCTCGTTCGCGAGGAAATAGTAAAACTTGGGCTCGAGCAACTCATCTTTAGGCCTAATTTTTGGACCTAGTCTATAATTACCAAGCCCATAATTCCTACGCCCATACTCCTAACTTAATCCCTACCCCTATATAATAGTACATAATCCTTACATAGACCTACACCTAAAAAATCCTGTTGAATCCGTTGTTTTCCAGAAGATTGGATTAAAAACGAAAATCTAAAAGAGGGCGCTAACAAAAAGAAAGGAAAGGGCGACCAAAAGCTGACAGCCGCAATTGAGGATTGGGAGTCTGACTCCCATCTTCTTCTTCCTTAAGAACAGAACGCTTCAGCAAACATTCCTTCTTCTCTGTTCCTCCAAAAATCCAACGAAAAACCTCCATTTTCACCATGTAAAAGCTCCAAAAGAACTCAGCCTTCCTCCACTATTGAAGCAACCTTCAAACTCCACCAAAAACTAATCAAAACTAACTCCAAAACACCTGAAATAGCAGCTGAATATCTGCTCAAATCCATCCTCAAAGCAGTCCTTAACTTCACCCAAAACCACTAAAAAAGCAGAAAAAATGCAGTCCTTTTCGCACACAAGCAGTAGCATCGAGAGTTGAGTCGAGGTCGCCGAACAGCTTCTGCATGAGGTCCAAACAAGGTTTTTCCTTTTGCAATTCTGGTCTTAAATCAATTTTAGGCCTAAGCTCTGTCGTCGGATCTCTAGTGTGAGTCAAAATCGATCGCTGTATGAGTTTTGCCGGAGGCTTGGTTCAATGAAAAATCGTTGTTTCAGTTGAGGTTCATTCTTTTTTACTGTTTCGCTCCTAATAAATTTTTATTGTCAGTTGTCTTCTGATTTTTGTTGTTTTGTCCTATTAATTGTTGTGTTAGTATTTTTTTGAATGTTGCATTGTTTTCTTTGTTTGGAAATTTAAATACGTTGGCTCTATCCCATTTTTGTGATTTGTTTGGATTATAATTGTATGGGTGTAGAAGATAAAATTGTTCCATTAAATGGGTTGTGATTTTATGTAATAAAAAAATGGGATAAACCAATTACGTAATTGTTTTCTGACGTTTGCTTGATTTGTTGTTTTGGAGCATTTGTTAATTTACTCATTTGAAAATTGGTCCTCTGTTTAGTCCTATAGAACTTAGAAAATGAAATTAGATTGGTCTATTGATTCTATTTGTGAATTTGATTCAAGTCCAGTAAGCCTTTTCTTTAAATAACATTTTTGGCTTATTTTCCATTTTATAAGTTAGCTCACTCCTTCCACAACTTCGTATCTGTAATCTTTTGGCCTAACAATGAACCCCAAATATGGTAAGAATTATCAATCGTAGTTGCTTTAGGCGCACTATTTTAAATTAATTTCCTTAAATTCGGATGTGCATTTCATGTGATCCAACTCCAATTTTCAACAACGTTAGATAAAGTGTGTTGCGGATCGCGGGTGCATTTCATGTGGCGCGGTTCAAGGTGTGTTTAAATAACGTTGAATCTTCCTAAAAATAATTAAAAGCGGTTTAACAAAGTTAAAATATATCATAGGTTAAAAGATGTATTAAAATCAGATAATAGGCCAATTATAATAGTTTAAGCGACTATGCTAGAACCACGGAATCCGGGAATGCCTAACACCTTCTCCCGGGTTAACAGAATTCCTTACTTAGAATTTCTGGTTCGCAGACTTCAAAAGAAAAGTCGAATTTCCTCAATTTGGGTTTTAAAATAAACCGGTGACTTGGAACACCAATTAAACTATTCCAAGTGGCGACTCTGAGAAATTAAATAAAATAATCCCATTTCAAATAATGTCACTTAAATTGGAAAAACTCCCTTATACGCCCTTCCGGGGTAGTGAAAAGGAGGTGTGACAACTCTGACGACTCTGCTAGGGACAAGAACCCAGAACGTCTGGTTCATGGTTCAGAATTCGAGCTTAGAATAACTGTTATAGTTGGCTTTTATTTATTATCTGATTTTTATATGTTTGTTCCTAATGTGCTAAATGTTGCTTTTTACCGCTTTGATATTGTTGGACTACATATAAATTGTTGCGAAACCCTCCTCTCTCTGAATCTTTTAAATCATTTGGGAAGTGTGCACTTCGTGTGACTTCTCTTCTGTTAGAGTCATCCCAATTTTAGAACGAGGTTCGGATAAGTTGCAAAGCTGGTGAAGCTTCTGTATTCCCGGTACGCTGCCCCCCTCGACTCGAGTTGTCCGCTCGGGTAAGCCAGGTCTAGAACAAATAAACCTAGGTTTTTATGCCTAGAATAACATAGCCTCATGCCGGATCCCTAGTAGGAACGCTTGTTTGCATCATGTGCATTTGACTTTGGGGACTCAACACAGGTATTGGGTCCGTCTAGGACAGGTGTACCCAAAATAACAGACCATCTTGATGCATCCTATGTGCTACATGTTGCATTTCTTCAAGGGTAAAAGGGTCATTTGGCGGACCAATGATAGTTGAGGGCAAATGGAAAAAAAGGAAAAAATGAGAAAGAAAAGAGGTTGAAGTATAAAAATGAAGCAAGTGGGGTCCAGTTATAATTTTCTTGCACACTTTTTCAAAAAAAAAAAACCAAAAATTGAAAATGAAAAAATCCAAAAAAAAAGAGTTTGCATTTTCCCCGTCATTTTTTAAAAGAAAAGGAAAAAAAAAAAGAAAAGAAAATCCAAAAAGATGTTTACATGTTTCATCATTTTTTTTTTCAAAACAAAAGACAAAAATCCAATTTGCCCGAACTACGCATACCTGATTCTCGTCTTTTGGGGCATGATACGTAGGCAACCTACATATGGTCCGGTCTTCCTAGTAAATCTTAGGTTCTTGGCTTTGCGGGGTCTTAGCCAAATTTTGCACTTCTAGCCACCTTTTGGCTAAATGAGTCATTTTGCAAAAATAGCCTCAATCATGTCTTGCATGTATCCAGTAGCGAGTGTTATTGTCTCACATAACGTTGGTTTAAAGTTTTCTCATACAGGTGTGGATCTACTTACCGAAGTTTGAGCATGACAAACACCCCGAGACCATCCAGTCAGGATCATTCAGGAGTTGCTTAAGGGGATTTTTCTTTTTGTGCTTTGAGTCTATTTTTCTTTTTATGTTTTCTTTTACCTTCTAATTTTGTACAGTAATGTCGAGTCTTTTGTTATTGTATTTACTATTTTCGTATTGAAAAAGTGTGTTATAAATCAAAGAACCAAGAAGAAATTTTGTGTTTTCACATTCCCGTTATAAGTTTCTTTAGAATACTAATTCTAGAAATGAAAAAAAAATTCCTTTGAGCTGGTTTTTCCTTTAGGCAATTAATATCAAAATAAAAAATGCTTTTATATTTCCTTTAGTATATTAAGACTAAAAATTCAAAAATAAAAGAGAGAATTTCCTTTTAGTACCTTTTTAAAAAGTTTTCTTTAAGGTATTAATCTCAAAAATCCAAAAAGATTTCTCTTTTGAGGTTCTTTTTTGGGAAATTAATGAAAAATGAAAAAATTCTTTTATTTTCCCAGGAACTTTAGGACATTGTGCATAGAAAAAAAACATACTTTATCTTTATCTTTAAAGTTTCTTTCTTAGGTAATCAAAAACCGAAATCCAAAAAAGTATTTTTTATTTTGTTCATTTCTCATTTCGAAGTCTTTTTTCAGGGATATCAAATGAAAATTCAAAATATTTTTCTTTGGTTTATTGTTTGGACTTCATTTTAGAAAAAAAAAAGAATCAAAAAATATTTTTCTCTTGTAGGATTTTTCCTTAATAATTTCCCATAGAGTGTTTGTTTCAAAAAAAAAAAAATATATGCTAAGCTTGAGTTTAGGATATGTTATTTAACATTGAGTCTAGAAAATTCAAAAAAAAAAAGATTTGCTTCTTTTATTTCTCTTTTCTCATCAGAGTAGTCATTAAGGTAAAAAGAAAAGAAAAAGAAAAAAAAAGAGAACGTCAGTTTGTTTCCTTTATTCCTGATCTTCCTGAACTACGCAAAGATCTGATTCATGCGGGGTAATGATACGTAGGCAACCTACATAGGGTTCGATCAAATCATTTTTTTAAAAGAAAAAGAGAAAAAAAGGGAGAAGAAAAAAAAGATGGTGAAATTATAGGACATGAGAAATGAGAGGAAAGAAAAGAGTGATAATTAGAAAAAAAAAAGAGGAAGGAAAATGAGCAAGCCAAGAAGTGCTAAAAAAGAAAGAAAAGGGAAGATTGAAATGAACAAAATCGGGATGATGCCAAGTGACCTTGTGACCCTTGATGTCATTCTAAAACCGTTAATTGTTGCTAAGTGAATTACATGCAATGTGATATTTTTAGCTGTTAAATTCCCTAATGCTAACAGGATGACCCCATTTTGTTCCTTTTGTTATCTTCATTGAGCAGAAGGGTGGTTGGTTTGTGATTTTTAAGTAACTCATCCATACAACACAAGGTCAAAGAGCAAGGTAGTCATGGCTAGCAAAGACTTGGACACAGGGGTTGTTGATCCGTTTAAGAGAATGGTTGAATCAGAATCTGAGTTGAAAGAAGAGGTCTTAAGGTTGAAAATACAGATGGCCGAAATATACCAAGCTTGGATTAGTGGGCGTCCTCCACCATCAATCCCCAATGCCCAACACTATGCTCCAGAACCAATTTTCAAGGTCTCGGGTCCATACTCTCACGCTCCTTATTTTGAGTTTCCCGATAAGACTACAAATCTTGCTAAGACAGTGGAGCAAGATGAGATATCCAGAAAGCTGAAAGGGTTTAAGATGCCAAAGTTTAATTTGTATGATGGGCGGGGAGATCCAGTATCCCACCTGAGGGGTTATTGCAGTGAAATGAGAAATATTGGCGGGAAAGATGAGCTGCTGATGGCGTATTTCAGTGAGAGCCTGACTAGGGCAGCTTTGGAATGACATACTCGTCAAGATGTCGGTAAGTGGCATACATGGGATGACATGGTTCAAGATTTTGTGCGACACTTTTAGAACAATAGAGACAGTGTCCCAGACAGCTCCTCCCTATCTCAGATGGAAAAGAAACCCAAGGAAAGTTTTAGGGAATTTTGATTCAGATGGAACGAACAAGATGCTCGGGATAGTCCTCCCATTGATAGAAAAGATGTTACTGAGCCCCGCCAACGACACGATCCAGTGGGCATTCCTGCTAGACGCTTTAAGCCTCAATACCAACCCCATGAATATCCCCGCATAATCCACCCAATGTTATCCTCCAAATAATGTCCGGCCATCTGTCCAACCACTGGGTCACTCCAAAAGGCGAGCACCGCAGAATCCCCACCAGCCTCCACAAAATTTCCAAGTGCCCTATAACCCACATTCAAGCCAAAGATGTAGAAGGGAACAAAGGCTGAAAGATAATTTTACACCAATAGGAGGGTCCTATGCAAGTTTTTTTGAGAGATTAAAGCATTACGACATGATTGCACCTATGTTACATCTCGGGGGAATGAGATCATCTTGACGTTAACGTACTTACGCTATTTATAACAAGCGAAAATAAGTTTTATGAAGGATAAATGGGTACACGGATTAAAAAAAAACGAGTTTCATTGAAAGTGGACAATTTGGAATAAAATATGGGTCGAGCGACAATACCCGATAATTATGAACTAGTACCATACAAGGTACCATATGATCACTGTAGTATAATATATAAAGTATATATGAAGTATTTTA